AGTTTATGTTGGATACCATTGGATTCCATAAAATGTTTAAATTCATTTGAAATGAACGCAGGACCATTATCACTAACAATTGTACTTGGAATGCCGAATCTTGCAAACATTTCTCTTAAGATTCTTATAGTAGAGAAACTAGATATGCTTTTTGTTTCCTTTACTTCCAACCACTTTGTATATGAATCTACTGCTATGAAAAAGTATGTACCTCTGAATGGTCCTGCATGATCTATGTGCACCCTTTCCCAAGGAATATTGGAGTTTGGCCATGGTTCATGGTACTTTGGAGGATCGTTTTTATTCAATGCACATGGCTTACATGAATTTACATAGTTTTCTATGTCAGAATTCACTGTAGGCCACCAACAATACTGCCTGGCTAGCTCTTTCATTTTTGTTATGCCTGTGTGAGCTTCATGTAGTTCTTTCAGAATAGTTTTTCGTAAAGCACATGGAATTACAACTCGTACTCCTCTAAATAAACATCCGTTTTCAATTGATAGTTCTCCCTCTAAACCTTTGTATTGTTCAGGCTTCGTAATGTAAGAGGATGTCATTAGTGCATTGTATACCAACTTTAATTCTGGATCGTTCATAGTTTCCCCTCTTACTTCATTACTTGTGACAGGAAGGGAATTCAGTTGTACTTGTAAAATGTATTTGTCTGATACTGTTTCATCTAAGGTTTCTTGATGATCACATGTATTGTTAACAGGAAACCTTGATAGGAAATCTGCGTTGACATGATTCGATGCTTTACGATACTGTATTTCGTAGTCAAAACCTGACAGAAATAGAGCGTAGTGTAACATTCGAGTGGCGGTTAAGGGTGGTAGGCATTTTGAGGGATGGAAAATAGAAGACAATGGTTTGTTGTCGGTTATAAGTGTAAACTTTCGACCATAGCAGTAATGGAAAAACTTATGAACACCCCAGTAGATCGCAGTCGCTTCCTTAATAATGTGGCTGTAATTTTGTTCTGCCTTACTTAATGTCCTTGAAGCAAAAGCTATAGGTCGTTCTGTTCCATCCGGCATCTTGTGAGATAAAACAGCAGATAGTCCATGAGGCGAAGCGTCCGTGGCCAGTATCAGTGGTAGGTTTGGTGAAAATGTTGTAAGAACCCTCTCTGATGTGATTTCCTTCTTAATACCCTCAAAAGCATCATTACATCGTTTTGTCCATGTATAGGTTTTCTTCTTATGTAGCAGTTCATATAATGGATGTATCTTAGTTGCGAGGTTGGGTAGAAACCTATGACAATAGTTTACAAGCCCAAGAAACTGCTTCAATTCAGTAACGTTAGTGGGTATGGGACATTTCAAAACAGCTTCTATCTTATCATGGCTCTTATGCAATCCTTTTCCATCAATTTTGTATCCTAAGTAGTTCACAGACTCTTGAAAAAACTTACTTTTATTCTTGTTTATGTGCAAGTTGTTTTCCTTCAAACGTTCCAACACCTTGATCGTGCGTAGTTTTGTTTCTTCAATAGTCCTTCCTTGAACTATTATATCATCAAAGAAAACAGCAGTACCTTCCAGTCCAGTTAAAACTGAGTCCATGTAGCGTTGCCATATGTTTGGAGCTGTTTTTATTCCAAACATAAGTCTATTTACCTTAAAAACTCCCATATGAGTACTTATGGCTTGAAGGTTGGCACTATCATCGTCCATTTGAAGGTGTAAATACGCCTTATGTAAGTCCAAGGTTGTAAAGTATTGTCCTCCATTTAACTTGTCTAATATCTCTTCAATCTTGGGAATAGGATAGTGATAATTTTGCAGTTGGGAATTTACAGTTACCTTATAATCAGCACATATTCTTACTGTTCCATCTTCTTTCAATATAGGTACTATGGGTGTTCCCCATTCTGAATTGGTTACCTTTGAAATGATGCCCTTTTCTTCCAGTAAACACAATTCGTCTTCTATTTTAGTTTTTAATGCAACAGGAGGAACACGGTATTTAATAAAAATGGGTCTTGAATCAGGCTTTAATGGAAGATTGACTTGTTTATCTGGTGCAATTCCTACTTCTTTTGTAAATAGGGATTCATATGTGTCAAAAATGTCTTGTTTCATATTATTTTCCTTTAGGATGTTTTGCTTGTAAGAACTAGGACTCGCCATGTGATTTACGTCATGAATAGATATGTCAAAGTTACGAATCCATTCGCGCCCAAATATATTATCAACATTATTTTGTACAACAAAAATTCTACCTACCATTGTTTTTTAACCTAACTGAACTTTAACTTCACTTGTTCCACTTAACTTAATCGATTCCCCTGTGTAGGTTTTTAGCTTAACATTTGGGACTTCTGTAATTTTCTTGTGTGGGAATAATCGTCTGAAGGTACTTAATGACATAGATGATACAGCAGCTCCCGTATCATACTCCATTGAGCATTGTACTCCATCTAGAAGCGGTGTTACTAAGTATTTGTCATTGAATTTGGATGACAAAGAATTGAGTTGTAGCTCTTCAGTAATAGTGAAAGAATTACTTGTACCATCTAATTCTTCATTTTCACTGGAATAATCTTTTTCCGTAGAGTCCATTTGTTTTTTAAATACTTTACCTTTGTTCATTTTACTCGCCTTCAAACAAACAGCAGCAGTATGACCCTTACCATTGCATGTAAAACAAGTGGCATTGCGTAGCTTGCATTCATTTGCTTTATGGTTAGATTTACCACACCTAAAACACTTGCCTTTCAAATCATCTATTGATACAAAGCTGTCAGATTTTGATTGTTTTTTTATGGTTTTACTAATTTTATTTACAATAGCTGGTGATGAAATTTCATTGTTACCTTGTTTCGATATCTCGAAAGATAAGGCTAACTCATACGCCCTTTGTAAAGTCAAGGAATCTTCTTGTAGAAGCCTTTCTCTTATCTCTTTGCTGTACAAACCTCTAATGAACTGGGTGCGTAAGTGGGTGTCAATCGTACTGGATTTGCATTTTGAACAGGAAAAATTACAGTGTAGAGTCATGCTACGAAGTTCTTTCATGTATGTGGAAATGGATTCACCCGATTGTTGTGAACGCGTGTAAAACTTATGTTGTTCAGAAACTTCATTTGGAGTTGGACAAAGGTAATCTTTGAGTAGTTTGACCAGTTCATTATACGATTTAGTATGTGGTAAGTCTGGGGCGCATAAATCATTTAAGAGTTGAAAATTCTTTGGACTAAGGCAGCTAATCAACACCTGCACGCGTGTTTTGTCATCATCCTCTCCCCCTAATCCATTCAATTCAAGATAGTTAGTGAGCCTAAGTAAGTAGGTTGTAAATGTTTCATTACCTTCATCATAAGGTTCCAACTTTTGAAGTGGGGGACGAATCTTTTGTTCCTTTTCTTCACTAAACTTCTCTTGTAGAAATAACAGTAATGCTTGATTTATTTCTCTTTGACTCGTCGCCATTATTGTATATTAAACACCAAGTTTTATAACAGTTATTTATTAACAAGTTTAACAAGGATTCATAATGTAAAGATGTAGTAACTCTAACTGAAGTCTTACTTTGTTTGTTTTTTTGCATTCATAATAAACAAAGAACATTTAATTTAATATTATCAGCTGATTGTATGTACAGGATATAATAAAATCTACTTGTTGACGTCCATTATTGTACTGGTTTTTTGGAGATTGGTGTAGGCCCTGCCCATCGCTGTCTTGTGGAGCTCAGCCTCCACAACCTGAGGTACCCAATTCAAATATGTCCCGCCAAGAAGACACTCGAACTCAAGACCGCTCGCCCATGCGCAGCGAGCACGTGAGCTCGGTACAGGAAGCCAGGACTCGGCTTGGTGTTACTAATCCGAAAGAAGATGGACATGTCGTGGTAGGAGTCTGGGTACATGGAGATAAGGCCCCACGAGAGGCATGGTGTTAGATATCTTATTAGTCTAAATTTCATTAATTATTATTTCCAGATTCTGTAGTCAAAATTGTTTATTTTCACCTTTTAATTTCAATATTTACTCAAATGTTAGTTCACATTGTGTCAAATTGCCTGATTAATAATTATTGCATACATTCAAAGATGATGGTATTTCTGTAGTTAAAATGGTTCAATTAGTATTAATAATCATCAAAGCTGGCTCTTGGGGCCTGTGATTAGCGGTAAATTGTCTTCTCTGGTTAAATAAAAGGATCCAGTTGTCATTTCCTACGCGAACGGTTTGGTCGTTGTACCTAGTCAATCGAACGACTACAATCACCAAAATGTAGCTGAAATACGCCACATATTACCAAGCAGCAACCAAAAGCTGTGATACAAAATGAGAACAGTTGAAGTAGGATTTTTTACTGTTATGTTAATGTAGCCAGTTAATACTAATAGTAAATTAATAAAAGTCTATCTAAGTTACAAACAGCAGGAACTTCCCTTCTGAAATTTCTGCATGAAAAAAGTACTGCATGTACAAGTGCTCACATGAATAAATAAATTATTGCACACCTTTTACATCTTTATGGAATCAAAGGCTATTAAAAATAATAGTAACTTCGGGCATAAAAATCTTTTATTACTCAATGGATGACGCCAGTCAATTAATAATTTACAACCCCTCATATCTCAACAACAACACTAATGTGTATAATGTGTGTTGTGTATAATGTTGTGCATCCCTTGAAACATATCCTTGCTAAGTCTCATCTTTGTAAGTTTTATGATGCAAACAGTAGTTGTGAAAACGTGGCCATATCACCTCATCATATCACTAAGTGGTATACTTGCTTGTATTTTAAGCTGATTGAATACCAGGTTAGTTCAGGTGGATGATCTGTACAGTTTTAACTGACTAAAATCAGCTGATTCGTGGCCAGGAAAATGTATTATCAGCTTCAAGCCTGACTTTCCTCAGTACAAAACCTATAACCTTCTGATTGTTAGGTAATCTAATCACTAAACATTCGGCTACCCTGCTATATTAGAAGTACCAGATGAGCTATTGCTGTTCTAATTTATGTTGTCACCTTCAGATAATGCTTACACAAACATCAAGGAGAAAACACAGGCACAGCGTAAGAAGCTCAATAAGGAGATCAAGATTTTGTCGGCGGAAAACCAAAAGTATCGGCAACAATACGAGGAAGTTCTCAATGGGGACAAGACCAGCCTTCTACCGGTGCTTCACTCCCATCCCAAACTGCAACTGGCTTTCAAAAATCTTGATCCACAGGTAGGGCTATGCTTTTTAAAAGTTGCTATTACTTACTGAATCTTAAAAGTTGATCAAATGAAAAAATAAGGACCTAAAAACACATTTTTACTGTAGGTGTTTTTAAAAATGATTTATTTATTGAAAACTCTGTAAACAATAACAAAAAATACAATAACCATGGACAAAGTCCGAGGTAATGTTAGTATGTTGGAGTGACTCTGTTCAAACTTTTCTTTATTTAACGAATATTTGTATGAAAGCAAAAATAATTAAGTTCTTTTAGAAAGTAGGAAAAAATACTAAGGTATTAAAAGTGTTAAATGAGTTATAGAAGACTTATATAGCAAACATTATAATATTAGCGAAAAAATGCACCAAAGTACCTATAACTTTTGGGTAAACATGAGATCAAAATCTTGTGAAGTTTTCAAATTTCTGTTTGTCATTCTACAGTTTTCTGACATATTTGAAAATTACACATTACCAAGTACAGTGGTTACTAATTTCCTCCTTAAAAAGAGATGGAAAATCTGGCTACACACACACACATATGTTCCATTTATTTCAGGGAATAGAAGAAGAACTAAAGCAGTCAATATTTTGCAAGAACAAAGAGCTGGATCGATTGAGATACAAAAGGAAAAATCTTGAGGATATTCTACTAAGTAAAAAGGTAAAACAGATAAATATAAGTGTTTTTGCCATCCCAGTTTTAAGAACTTAAATGATATTAGATTACCTTTTTAGTTGTTGCCTTAGTTCTTGAGCAAGATGTTGGTGTTTAAGAAAATGCCACACAAGCTTGTGAAATCCATAGTGTGCACACAAATATTAAGATCATTTAGGATTTTTTGAGAGGATAGCAGGCTTACCTGAATGGGAAAGAGTCCAAACTGGCACAGGAAACATAAAACAAAACTTTACACTATATACACAAAACATTAGAATATTTCACTGTCACTGACAGCATTTTCAACTAAGGAAGAGAGAGTTTTCTAGATGTCCAAAATGGTGGCCAGTGAGTTGTTGAGGACTCAACAATTTGACTAAACAACACAAAATGAAGTTCTAAATCTCTTGTCAAATACAAACATTTTGTCATATGATAGATAATTTTTTAACTTTTGTTCATACTAACATTTTAGTGATATCAGAATTCGACTATTATTTTAGTTTAATAATGGCGGCTCTCTACGTGTAAAATTTGGTACCTACTATTTTAAATACCCAATATTTATTAAGAAAATACAGATATCTCTACTATAGTTAAAATTTTGCATTTATTATGACTTAAGCTTTACTTTGATTTGCAATGTTACCATAATATCATGGAAAATAAAATTTCAAAATTTGTTTGGATAATATAAAAACATATATAGCCAAAACTCATAAATTTAAAATAGCATCATATGGTTCAATTCAACAAAGACCCACTAGCTTTATAAATAGACTCTATTTCTATCACTAGTCAAAGGTTTAGGTCTTTATTTCTATCACTAGTCTCTAGTTCTATCAACAGTCAAAGGTTTAGGTGTTGTAAATTCTGTTATTTTTTGTAGTTTTACTTTTACTTTTATTACTTTTAATTATAGCTTTTAACATTTAAATAAGGACATAGATGAACTTGTAACAAACTTTATTCCTATTTAAACCATTCTTCATTATTGATCTTATTTACATAACCCTTAATGGTAAAATGTTCTATTTATCTTTAAACTGTCAAAATGTCTCTGAATTTGTTGAAGTTTGGATACGTTTGAGGTTTTGTGAACAAATCAGCTATCTGATCATCAGTCGGGCAGTATTTAATTTCAAATTCTTGATTCTGATATTTTTCACTCAGATAATGAAATTTCACCTCAATATGTCTTCTTCCTGTTAAACTTAACTGACCAGATTTAATTAGTTTTATAGAACTTTGGTTGTCCACATACAAAGTCACTTTTACTAGTTTTCCCGTTATCTCTTCAATCAAAGTTCTCAGATATGTGAATTCCGTACAGCAATCTGCAGCGGCAATGTACTCAGCCTCTGTTGTAGATTTTGCAACAGTGTTCTGTTTTCGTGATCGCCATGATATTGGTCCCCCAGCATAAATTATAACATAACCAGTGGTACTTTTTCTTTGATTCTTATCACCAGCATAATCAGCATCGCTGTATGCAATAAGTTCAAGTACTTCTTTTTCTCGTTCTTGTGACTTAGAGAACTTTATTTTTCTGTCTTGGGTACCTTTAAGATATCTTAGAGTTCTTTTAACATTTTGTACATCTTCTTTCTTAGGTCTCTCCATGAAACTACTTTCGTAACTAACTGCATATGACAAATCAGGTCTAGTTTTACTTGTGAGATATAGTAAGCTTCCAATAATTTCTCTGTAGTTAGAATTATCATCATCAGATTTTAAATTTTGTTCTTCCTGATTTTGTGGTGATATTGGGGTTTTAACTGACTTGCAATCTGCCATGTTATATTTTTCCAGCACTTGTTTAGCATACTTCTCTTGGGATATGTACAAACCATCATTTCCCTTTTTTAGTTCCATTCCCAAGTATGTTTTAAGATTTTCATTTCTTGTGATGCCAAACTCCATGTTCAACATTGTTATTAAATGCTCTATTCGTTGTTTGTCCTTTCCAAAAACGATACCATCATCTACATGAATTGCGATTATGATTTTTCCTTGGTTGTCTTTAAAAATACATTGATCAGATTTTAGTTGATCAAGGCCTTGTTGTTTCAGAAAGATTGTAAGTTTTTTATTCCATCGGCATGGTGCTTGTTTTAGACCATAAAGGGCCTTTTTCAGTTTACAGACCTTCCCTTTTTCAGTGTAACCTTCTGGTAGTTTCATGTACATTGTTTCATTTAATTCACCATGTAAGAATGCTGTTTTTACATCGAACGTTTGCATTTCCATGTCTTCTTTAGCAGCAATTGCAAAAAGCAATCTCAGTGCACTTGAATCAACGACAGGACTGAATAAGTCTTTATAATCAATATCATCTGGGTTTTGTTGGCATCCTCTGACCACAAGACGTGCTTTATACTGACCATCTTCCTTAATTTTAAAAATCCATTTAGCTGTAAGTAATTTTTCTCTCTCAGCTTCTTTTTCATCAACCAATTCCCAAGTGTTGTTTATTTTAAGAGATTGTTTTTCCTCTTCTATTGCTTGCATCCACTTATCTCGATCTGAACTTTTCATGGTTTCACTATATGTCATTAGCACTTGGTCTTCCTCTAAACAGTAGACGTCATATATTTTGGGTTTTTTTATCACTCCTCTTGGCCGAAGGTTGTATCCTTCTTCTTCCATATTTTGATCCAGGTTTCTATCTTCATTTATAACTCCGCTTTGACTTTCATCATGTACTTCTTGGTTTTCTCTGGGTCTATCTTCATGTATTACTCTTTGGTGTTCTCTTGGTATATCTTCATTTATTACTCTTTCTTCATGTACTTCTTGGTGTTCTATAATTTCATTTTCCCTTTCATTTATTTCTTGAGATTCTTCTACTTCATCTTCCCAATTACTGTGTTCTTCATTTTCTTCTTCAAATTGTTCAAGTATTTGATCATTTTGTAATTTATTTTCTTTGTTTTCACAGAAAAATTTAGATGTGAAGATCACATCTCTACTTACAAATGTCTCTCTTCTTTCTGGATCCCATAGCCTGTATCCATTCGTGGCGTATCCAACAAACATGGCTTCTTTACTCCTTGAGTCAAGTTTTCTTATAGGCTTTATAACTTTGGCATATACTTTCTTGCCAAAAATCTGAAGATTACTTAAATTTGGCTTCTTTCCATACCACTTTTCAGCGGGAGTATTACTTGATCCAGTTGTAGGACTTCTATTAGCAAGATAAGCGGCTGTTAACACAGCTTCTCCCCACATCTCTTTGTCACATTGGGCTTCAAATAATATAGATCTGGCTTTGTTCATTAAAGTAAGATTTAGTCTTTCAGATTTCCCATTCAGTTGTGGAGTATATGGAATTGTAAAATCAATTTGGATGCCTTTCTTTTTACACCAATCAATGAATCTACATTTTTGTATTCCCCGCCATTGTCACATCTTAGTTTACTGACTTTCAGATTGAAATGAGCCTCAGCTTCAGCGATATACTGTTTAATATACATTGACACTTCACCTGCTGATTTTGTACTCAACAGATACACTTTACAAAAATGTGTATAATCATCAAGCAATGTCAAAAAATAATTCTTACCATCGTATGTAGGAGGATCAATGGGACCACAAAGATCACTATGTATTATTTGTAGTGGTCTTTCAGCTCTTTGTCTCACAGTTTTGAAAGGTAGCCTAATCTTACCTGTTTAGCCTTAGCACACACTGAACAGTCCAAAATAGTTTTATTCTCCTGTTTTCCAAAATGTATACCTTCACACATTTTAGGAAGTTCTTGCAGTTGCTTATGATTTAGATGACCCAATTTTTTATGCCAAGTTTCTAAATTATTACCATCTTGTTCTGACATCATAACAGACTCATTTTGTACTAGATTTACTATATACATTCCGTTCTTAGCTTTATCACCCTCAATCACAACACAGTTTTCTGGAAACTCAATCTTTTCATTTAAAATGTATACCTTTTCATCGTCAAAATATACTGAACCGTTGTTTTCTGTGATTTTGTTTACAGACATAAGATTCTTAGATAATTCAGGAACACAATACACATCTTTTAATAAGCATTCATCATATTCAATTGAACCAACCCCTGTTACAGACATACTTTGACCATTTTTAGCTGTATTTATTTTCTCAGAACATTGTCCAATTTCTTTAAAATACTCACTTTGACTTACCATATGAGAACTTGCTCCACTGTATACAATGAATTGGCATAATTCGTTATTATTAACTAGACATTTTTCACTTTTACTCAAAAAAGCTATTTTAGCGTTTTTGTGACTTTTATTAAATTTATTTTGTTCAGGCTTACCTTTATTCCTAAAAAAAACAGTCCTCCTCTCTATGATTTGTCTTTTTACAAATTCTACAGACTTTAAATCTACAGTTGTTTTCATCATGATTGTTCTTACACATTGAGCACCATCTCTTTGGCTCAAGAGTTTGCTTTAAGATGTCCTGTTGTACCACACGAAAAACATATTACTTTCTTCTTCTTACCTCCATAATTTGCTTCCACTTTAAAAGATACATTTTCGTCCTCTTTACTTGCCATTTTCACTTAATCCTCTTCTAGAGTCAGTCTTGCAATAAGATTCTCGAGGGTTTTGTTTGTCTCCTGAGTAGAATCCCAGGCACTTCTGAAATGCTTAAAGCGTTCCGGGAGGATAGTCATTATCTTTGAAATCATCATTTGTTCTGTGATTTCCTCATTTAGACATTTTAATTTACAAACAATGTTTTGAACTTCACTAATATTAGTATTTACATCTTTGGATTGATGAAACTTGAAATTGTAAAAATCTTGAAGTAGTAAACATTTTTGTTGACCATTGTCTTTCCTGTATATTCTCAATAGTGTATCATACATTTCTTTTGCTGTTTCACATGGCATGAGATGGACTTTCACTTTGTTATCCACTGTTCTCAATATTACATGTTTAGCAGTTGCATCTTTTGTCTTCCATTTCTCAATTTTGTCTGTATCACGTCCACATTCAGCCAAAAGTTCTGTTCCATCCACTATGTCCATTAATTTCTTTGCAGTGAATAATATTTTTACCTCAAAATGCCACATAGGAAATGTGCTAGAGTCTTTCAGTTTTTGTATGCACACTATTTCATCACTATTTACTGATGTCATCTTATCCTTATTACTGTTTTATTTTCACATAAATATTTTTAGTTATTGTTACAAGCTTTTACTGGGACTGGGCCCATAACCTTCTGTTATTTTTTGTAGTTTTACTTTTACTTTTATTACTTTTAATTATAGCTTTTAACATTTAAATAAGGACATAGATGAACTTGTAACAAACTTTATTCCTATTTAAACCATTCTTCATTATTGATCTTATTTACATAACACAAAACCAAAAACATATGGTATTAAACTATTAACTATTTTACAGTTTCTAGGAGGCAGAACATTTTGCCATTACACAAAGTACTATAAGTAATTTCAACAGTAAAACACAAAGTTCTTGTTGGACTTTCAATTTTTTTTTATCAATTAAATTCAATTTCCAGCTTGAACTAGGGTTAGAAAAGAATGCTGAGGAGGCACCGGAGAATTTCCTTTTTGAGCAAGAAATCGCCAACCAGATTCAAAGTATCAGTGTAAAACTGAACGCAGCAAGAACCACCCACGATGTGTACGAGAGAGCACTCAAGATTCTGGAAAAGGTTTGTGCAATCTAATTGTATGGTGCATTTTTAATAGCGAGAAGTAACTTGTCTCAGTTGCATTACCATGCATTGTACATACCACAAATCTTTGTATGTCATATGATGGATTTACTTAAAATACCCCCGCCGCAGCAAACCTGCAGCCTAAGGGAATTTCCATTTGCCTGATTGGATTTACACTAAAATGTCTCCTTAAAAATATCACATTTGTCCCGCACGTGGACTGCGCGCACTTGCGTCCGAGTCACAAGTGTCTGCGCCGCATTGCTCACCTGCGCCGTGTTGACTAGTGTTTTGTGACGGATCTAGAGAATAATTAATAGAAATTGTGCGTTTTTATCCAGTTATTACGTTACCAGTCATAGTAAGTATAAAAAGAGTAATTACAAGAATTAAATCTGGGAGAAAATACAAAAATCACTAAACATTGAAAATGTTTTCGCCCTTTCTTTCTTGTTCTCTTGTGAAGAAATAACAATAAATCTAGATCAGCACCTGAATCTGACTCAGAACTCAAATCCTAATATTTAACATTTTCACACAAGAAACTGTATCACTCATTATGAGAACTGTACGACACTGCTTCCCAATATGCGATGTCAACTGTGCAACACAGACTTTTTGCCCAATTCTGCCCTGTGCTGTGCTGCACTGCCCGGACCGTGCTGCACAGCTCAATAAGCGCCTGGGCTCACAGTCAGTCACACTACCAACTAAGCGACCAACTTCCAACCACATTGAGGAGAGGCTCACAATTATTTGTAATTTAACAAATGTGAGTGTCTACTCAATATTTGTGTATGTTGGTGATTGAGTTGGTAGCTAAAAAACTTGTTTACTCTAGACTTGGGATATTGGAGGTAAACTTAGTTTCTGTATACAAAAAAATGTTAGCTATTTCAGCTATTTGTAATAGTTTGGATTAATTTGTAATAGTTATGTAATCACCTTACCTAAGCAATTTTGATTATAAACAAAAGACAAATTGGAAATACTGTAAACACCATTTATTTAAAAAATTACTATATTCATTTGGTTTATTACCCTAATAGACTAAATATATATAGTAATGACGAATTTTAAAGTTAGGCTTTGTTGTAGGCTTAGTATTAGTCTAAGTTTTAAGAGGCGGCAGGAGTCAGGTTGAAAATCGTCAATCTGTGACTCCTGCAATTGTACGTTCCGCCACCCGCACGGCAAATCTTCAATACCGACACGGGGGCTGGAGGGTTGGGTCTAGTGTCTGACATTGAAGACGTCGCCAACGGTATCGCCGGGCTGGGCTGTGTGTGTGTGTGTGTGTGTGTGTGTGTGTGTGTGATGGAATCTCCGCGCCTCCTTCAACGTTGAGCGCGTTGTCGCTTTCACGCTTGGATGCTTTGAAAACAATTCGCATTCGCACATAGGCATATGTATTTTTGAATACGATTCGCAATTTAATAAACAATCAATTCAAAATCTGTTAATTATTTCATAATAATTATGAAATATGGATAATAATTACATGGGTAATTATTTCATAATAATTATGAAATATGGATAATAATTACATGGATAATTATTATCCATGTAATGCATGGATTAAAAATACGTAATGCAATAACAATGTTTAAATCAGTTTTTAGCTCATGCTGTCCAAATACATTACTCCGCATAATCAAATTATTCAGCCACAGATGTTTAAAAGCCAATATTTTAGTTCGGAAAAACAAAAAATATTGTCCCGTTTTGGTATTATTTGCACAACAAATATTTTCTATTTTCTTAGCATTTTCAGTTACAAAAATAAAACAGTTTTTGCTGTGGATTTGCCTAAAAGCTATAAATTCACTTGTAACAACACAATTTTCTGGGTTACAATGTAATAACCCGAAAAGGTGGTCAAAATAAATTTATTTATGCAATACACATGGACATACAAGTTTATGTCGTTAGCAGCATGCTATATAACCGTACATTTTTATAATACAAAGATACAACATGAAAAAATTTTTCGAACATATTATACAGTGCCAGAACACTTATATCAATTCCAAATCTTAAAAATTATTTACACCGAAAAAATACCCGTAAAAAACAAAATTAAAGCAATAAAATAAATATTACATCATAGATAAAAAACATTAATAACATAATAGTTTCAGTCTGAAATATTTAACTAATGCAATTATTTACACGGAGAAAAATAATACTATTTGTACAACATAGCAGACACAAAAATGAACCACAAAGATTATTTAAAGGGATTATGGATTGAATTCATTACGTCAAATGTAATCGGCTTCAAAACACTTAAATAAATCAAAATGTTTATTGCCTAAGCTAAATACCAGAAGTGGATCACATTTTGTAATATGAAACTAATGAAATTATTTATCACATTTGGCAAAAACATTAATAACATAATACTTTAAAATCAGAAATAAGACAAAACGCACAAAAATGAACCACAAAGATTATTTAAAGGATCCAGGGTTGAATTCATTATGCTGAATTCAATTGCCTTGTAAAAACTTATGTAAATAAAAACATTTATGCTAAATATGAGAAGAGGATCACAGTTTGAAATATAAACTAATGACATTATTTACACCGAGAAAAATCATATTTACAAAATAAACATACAAGATTAGTTAAAGTGATTAAAATACAAGCAGGTTTTCAAAATAAGCAGAAATTAAAACTGTGAAATATTATACTATAGACAAATAAAACACAATAACCTAACAGGACGAAACGGAAACAAATTAACCTTCATTGGACACCAAAATTTTGTCTTTATTCTTCTGAACTTCCATTCTGTTCATCTGTTCTATCTTTTTTTTCTTCTGTTCTTCCGCTCTCTCTATTTTTTTCTTCTGTTCTTCCATAATATATGTTGGGTTTCGGATGGGCATGGATCGGATATGACGAGGATCGACTAGCTCCGGAAGTAGACAGTCCATGTAGAAACGTTCAAGTTTGTCTTTCATGTTTACGTTCCAGAATTCGTCGTCTCTTTCGATCCTTTCTACTTTCAGCCCTTTGGGGGTCCACAAGGTAAACTGGCAGTATCTTCTTTTGGTGACATGAAGTTGTCCCTGCACTTGATAAAAGAAGTTATGGGTTGTGTTTATGGGACCAATAGTACCATTTTTTTCTTTAGTCCAGAAGGTGACTTTTCTAGCCAAGATTGCCTCTTCCGGAGTCATGTTTTTTGCAGATGATGGACACTTGATCTCTACTATACCATCATCTCCAATCAGACCGTCTGGAGTCGCCCCCAAGAAAAATTGATTTTCATCAATAAAGAGGCCACATGGTTCAATAATTTTACCAATTTTATTGGCTAACTCTTGTCGAGCTACCTCTTCATTGTTCCTGCCCCAAACCATGGCCTGACAGTCAAAAGCTGTGTATAGCATCTGCTTGATAGTTGACTCGCAGCCGGTCCATGGCTTCAGTTTGCAGATGCGTCCGAAATTTGATGCTGTTAGAAGATTTCTCCTCGTTTCCAACCATTCTCCACAGTCGCTCTGGTAGATGGTAGCCCTTTCAATGTCTCTTATTTCTTCTGGCGTTTTCTTTAAATTGTTTAAAAACTCTGTCATTTCCTTTTTCATTTCATCTTCCTCAATATCCGGTCGTTGTGCAGCTGGCCCGTAGTCTTGGTCTTGTGTAGTGGTATTGAACAGTGTCTTTTTACATTTCTTCTTTCCACGCTGCAACTGAACCTTTCGCTTTCTTTTCACGCCAGTACTTTTGGTAAAATAACCAGGGCTACATTTATACAAATTCTTGTGTAGATAGTAGTGGACATTACCAGTATTATGCTGGACCACTGCTGCTGAGCACCGTCCTTCGTACGATCCTCGGAGAGCTAAATTTATTCGTTTGCCGCCGACATATTTAGCAACAAGTGAGTTGTAGTGTTCAACTGTGTTACTAGTAACATCAGTGATAAGGCTACGACTGTGGCGGCTTATGTCCTTTACAACTTCGGACACCTGCTGGTACAGTCCCGCTTCCACTAAATCTGGCACAATATTGCTCTTGGACGGCTCAACCACATGCGTTTCTTGACAAAAGTAGCCTCTTTCGACACATTTCCGGTGTTCCCCAAACACATGACTTGGAATATTTAAAATATCTAGTCTAAGTTGATCTACCTTTTCAGGATTTAAAGTTTTTTCGGTTTTTCGAAACTGAACAGCTTTTGTGACGGCAGTCCGACACCTCAAAATGTTGTCACCAATCTTCTTCCGTAAATAGATTGTATTTTTAACTCGATTGCCTGTTGTCGCTATTTGTTTCAATTTATTGGAAAAGTTCCGGAGCAAGTGATTTTTGCACTCTATTTTCTCAACTGTCGTATTCTTGTAAGGCCTAGTCATCCTTATTCTGTTATAAACACTGCTATCGCCGTCAGCTATCAGACGAGCGTATTTCAACCCGTACATTTCTTGACTGCACGCAAAGCCATCGGCGATTATCGCAGGTTCCATACTAGAAGAACTTTGACCTTTTCCCCAATTTTTGTAGCAAGTGTGGGGCTTTGGTTGAATTCCTTGCGTTTCTGCTCTGGCACATGAAGTACAGTATTTGTTTTTTACTCCCATGTAGAGCACCTTCTTTGTATGGTAGCCAACAATCGCTGCCTGAAACGCACCCAACAACACATAAAATTAAATAATAGTTTGATGCAAATGTAATGTGTTAAATAGCAAATCTTAAATGAGCAAAGTAGTGAGTTAGGGCAATTGATTACAATGGCAGCGAGCAATAAAAATATTACTCCAAATCCGTTAGCACACTCAAAAAAACACATTTGGTAGAAACATATTAGTGCCCTGAAATAACTCGCTTATTTTTAAATACAATTTCTCGTAGAATAGAAATAGCTATTTAGATCGAAATGCATTAGAATATACCAATAGAATATCTCATTCGAGTTAATTGCTATTTATTAAATAGCTATTTACATTACAAGTGTAGTAAGAGCGTTTTTACATCACGCAGGTGAATGTTGTGCAACTAGCGGAAGCGAGTTGCATAATTTACCTAAGTGATGTAAACACGCTCTTGCGTAACGTGTAACGTACAAAATTATACCTGACCCGACAATATACATGGGTTTACGTACAATATTTTTCACTATCCATTTTACTCATTTTCTATCAGAAACGTTCTTTTACTAACAAAATCACACCTTTCCCTGACTTATAAATTTTAAATGTCAAGGTACCGTTTGTGATATATAAAAAACAGCATAAGAAAAGATCAAGTTTGGTGTACGAAAAATTCAAATTGCTTAATCCGTTCTCGAGGTAAAACACAGTTTAAAACGTCAAGGAAATAGTGTGTTTAAAAATGAAACCTTTGTTAGATTTTTATTTATTTAAAAGAAAAAATATTCTTTTATGCTGATTGAGCAAAGCAATTATCTGCATTGGATCAGATATTTTTCATGATAAAATTTTAAAACTTCTCCAACCCATTCTTTAGAAATGTCGTAAGAAAGTGTGGTGCGTTTTTAATTTTTTTTCTTTCAGAATAAATTTTCTCATTAATGAATATTACTTTGCAATGATTACTTATTTGACAGCATCCTAAATCCAAATTGGAGTTAATTAAAATATTTAAGATTCTCATTGGTCACGCAGGTCTGCAAAATTAATTTTGACACAAGGAAACAATCCACTTACCACTCCAGATAACGACGAGTAGTTCGTCCTGTATGATCTCTTACACCAGCACCCGTCGGCGACGACAGTGATGAGCGGCGTACCGTTCTGGTCCACATCTCCGAGCTCGATTGCGTGGCGTGCCTCCTCCTCTGCTGCCTTTTTCATTTCTTCCGCTGCAGTATCGATCAGTCCTTGGCGGACCCTATCTTCATACTTGATGAACGTTTTGTTGCTCATCGGTGGTACATTTAGGGTTGAGAGGAATTCCTCTAGCTGGCTGTGACTTCCACCAGTAGTTATAGTTCCGCTTACGGCGCTAGTATTTATGTCCATTTCAGAATTTTTTTCCACTTCAGACCAGACAGACTCTTTGACTTCACAATAATTACACTGAAAGACAAAACAACTTTTCAGCCCTATTCGTTTCTCCCTTATCAACACCATATTACTGATTGTGCAACCAAGAGGTCCATGATTTCCCAGATTTTGAAGTTGTTTAAAAAAATCAGTCATATTTACAATTCGTCGACCACTCAACTTGACTTCAGTTGGAATTTTCACTGTGTTGCCGTTGGGAGGTTCGTTTCCGCTAGGATGTGGCACTTCCCTGTAATAGAAAAAGATAACAGAGAATTAATTCTAATTTAAGGCTTGTTTGCAAAGAGTTTTGATTACTTAAACAATTTAGCTACCTATTATATAAGCGGTTTGGGCTGCATAATGTGTAAAAGAACATTTTGTAAACGCTCGGCACGTGGTTGTACTTGATATCGGAAATCAATTTACATTATAAAGTTATTCAGCCTAGTTTTTTCATAACCATGACTTGCATGCGAAATGCATGGTTATGCATGTGAAATGCTAGCCACGGTTATGCAACACTTGTGTCCTAAGTGTCTGTGAGGATTCAATTGCATTTTGTGACAGTGCGAACGATAAGAGCCTGGCCAAAATGCACCGCGCCGTCGCCCAGAAGTGAAAGCTAGAAAGTCGTAATTCACAAGGTCACAATTCTTTGTCATCCTTCGGCCCTCCCTTTCCGCCCTTGCTGAGGTCAACTACCCTTACACTCGACACAGTGCCCCAACTGATCCGTAAAAAATATAAACATTGGTTATAAGGGTTTCATTAGGACGTGAAAACCACGGATTGTTTTTTTATTACTTATGTTACGAATTATACATAATTAAAGTTGAGTGTATGCTGCTTCATTCCCATTAGCGCAAAGAATAAGCATTCTTCATACTTATTCGTAATTTTTATAAACATTTATTCATATAGAGATATTTTGATATTTATAACCACGTTTTTATACGTGGTTGTGTATAATATAAACGTATATTATACACTGGTTGTGTCAATAGACATATTGATGTATTTAATAGGATAATAATAAACGGTATCAGGAAACTGACACATACTTTATCCCTTAAAGCCATTTAAAGCAAAAAAACCTAAAATAAAATAAAACAAATTTATAATTACCTTATAAATACATACCAAGTTTTCAGTCAAATCAGTCAGTAATCAAGGGAGGTATGGGTTTTAAATATCTGCCATAAAAATAGCATTCCAAAAACGTCAAATTCCATGAAAATCGGATAATTGGTGTCGTCAAAAGCTAATTTGCAATTTTGACACCAATATATGGTTTATGAAATTAAATAAATGTTTAGTAGATTAAATATTTACTTACTTTCTTCTTTTATTAAAGGCTGCCAAACACTCAGTAATTCTTCTTTTCTTCCTCCTGGACGGAAACCTTTTCAAATGCCCCATGTCACTTAAGAAAATCTCAAAACTAGTTAAAGTAAAGTCGTCTCCTCACTTATCACACATGACACAACGCTGGACGTCTGCAATCTCCTTTGCCTACAACGTGACGGACGACGGTGGTGGCACCTAGGGGAAGAACGCTGAACTACAGCGGCCTGCGATCCGCTATCTACACGACTGCCGATTGTAACTAGAATTTCCAAATTAGAAAATAAAATACTTGTACTTGGTTTTTTCGAAACATCAATCGGTTGAAATGATGTCACAATTTCAAGCTTTAAGGAGATATATTTTTAAAGTATTTTTTTGTATTGTGTATAATATTGCAATTGAATTAGTTTGGTCAAATATCAAGAAACTCTTATGGAGAAACAGATTTTGTATTAACAAAAAATAAATTATAAGAAGTAAGTTTTTATTGACTTAATGTATATTGATTTGTGCGTATGGGAGTGTTAAATAATATGACCGAAACAGTTTAACATTCAGTTAATCAGTTCTCATTATTTTTCACATTTAGTGTCCCACCCCCATTGTAAAGCGCGGAGTAGACCAGCCAGCGGCCGCTCTGACTCCTGCCGCCTCTTAAGTTTATGTTTTTATCTGCGGTAGGATGCCATACGGTTTGACGAAGTGCTGGAAGGTCTGAGAAAAGACTTGCTGCACCAAGGGGAGAGCATCGTAAAGGCAGTAGAGATTGGACAGAGTGTTTCGGAAGAGCTCAATGGGTTGCAACGGGAGTACAGGATCACAGGTGAGCCGCTGTGAACATCATTGTATATGGACTTAAAGACACAGCTAACAGCTAAGGTTGTCAGCTTATCTAACTGTAGCAATTAATGCGTATTGCATGCACGTTGTGGCGAAACGTCATAATGAAACTTCTTGGTCCAAGAAATATATCTGCTTTAGTGTGGTTTTGCGGATCTATTGACTTTTGAATATTGGATTAAACGTCCCATCTATGTAGACCAGCTTGCTGCAGAATACGTTGTATTTTCTCCGTTTTTGTTAGGGTGATTTAATGTAACAAAAGTTACTGTTGCTTACTACAAAGGTGTCCAATAAGTTTGGCCTGATAAGAAATCTGTGGATTGTACAGAAATCAGGAATTTACATCAGGGTATTTATCAGTGGCTACAACTACTCTTTCATAATTTTAATTCTAAAACTGGTTACAACCTTAACATGGGAATAGAATATCAAATTCTCCCCATAGTCAAAAGTACCACAATTTTGATATGTTTCTCTGATTTACACAGAAAGAGAAGTGAGAGATAACATGAGACTGCGAGACAGAGCTATACGTGAACTGAAGGCAGAGATAGACAATGTAAGAGTGTATGCCTACACAAGCGGACGCAGGGAGACTGGGGACGGCGGCCATGTGCAGGTAATTAGCTATTCTTAGACCAGTAACAATGTGTAAATGGCCACCTCACTCACTGCGACTTCACGTATACTGAAAAAAGTTTACAGTAGAATCTCTTTAATTCGAACCAATGTAATCCGAACGTCCACTAATCCGAATGCCTCATTGTTGTACTCTATACACAGTACAGTAGTTATTTATTGCATACTGTATTTATTGATATACCTACCGTAATTATTTCAATTGTAATGTACAGTACTGTTTATGCCCTATGTTTACTACTAACTACTATCTATATAAATAAAATTATAGTTTTGTCTGTACATTGCTCAGAATCATACATTTTTAGGTTATTTTTACGTTTTATACATTAAAGAAGCAGAAACGAGTCTTATCTCTATTTCTGTCTGTCTGTCTGTCTTTCTGTCTGTCTGTAACACTCAAGACGGCATTTAAGCTATCTTCTCCAGGAAAACGAGAGTACCTATCAAGATCCAAGTCATCTTAATGTATTCAATGGATTGGCGTCAGTGTCTTTAGCCAATAAACTATGGCCTCACTACTTTGCAAATAAAATTACGGACGTTCAAAAATGCAGTTTTGTGCGATTTTTGTCAAGTTTTTGTCCAATTTTTATCACATAATCATCTATGAAATAACGAACAGCTGTTCGGATCAAGATTATTTTTTCTAGCTGTCACTGATATGTTTACAAATGTTGTTTACAAATACCGCAACCATTTTCGATCACGTTTTGAAAGCAAATCCCAACCAAGTGAGATTAAAAACGTTTTTCTTACATAATGGATTTAATTAATCGCAAGTGCAATAATTTGTAGGGTAACCGTAAATGAAAATAAACATTCTTTGTGTATAAAATTGTTCTTGAGTTTTGATAACCGGGAAAAAGACCTTGAATCAGTGTTGTATATGGCTGGGAAACTTACATTTTTTACATACGCGTTACCAATAGCTTACATAAAAGGTTTCAACTCATTGACGGCACTTCAATGGTGGTTGTGTAAAGTGTAAAAAGACAACTGCAGTTGGTGATTGTAACAGAGGTTTACGGATTATGATAAACTCCCTTTTCCAATGTGTCTTCTCACCGCTATGTGCTGCAATCGCTGGACCATACAGCCAATAGACCAATTATCCATCTCTTGGGTTCGTAGGCCTAAACAAGTGTGTATTATGTATTTTAACTACTTTTAACCATTGTGGAAAGTAGCTTTCAATTATACGCCTACTTCAAGCTATACCTCATAGATCTATAACGCATTTTTTTACTTGAAACTGTCAGATACTGTATTTGTTTATATATATTAGTTTGGCCAGCATATCTGAAAATATGCAAAAAAAACTGCTGTTCTTTATATAGGAAGGGTTCAACTGACTAAAACTATAAGATCCCCGTGCGTAGAACGGGCACACAGCTAGTATTAAATAAACACAGTATTTTACTTTATAAATAAGTAAAATACGGCCACTAAGGGCCCTTTCACACGAGGCCACTGGTGGCGGTCACCGGTGTCAGCCACCAGTTACTGTCCGGGCAACTGCAGTGGATGATACAGTCAACTGATAAGCCACTCCACCAACAGCCACCGTACCATAGTTGAGAAAATTCCGACGAGCAATGAGCATCTCCTTCCACTCGCGTTACGAATAAAGAAATACCTCCGCCGCAGCAAACCTGCAGACTAAGTGAATTTCCATTTGCCTGAATTGATTTGAAATGAAATCTATTTAAATAACATAGGTTTAACGAGTACCTAGGTTTGCTGCTACAGAGAGACTAATACAATGTGTTTTTTAGTAAAATATTAGTAGCTTAATATAAAATAAATAAATTTGCCAAGTTTTATCAAAATATGTATCTCCATAAACAAGCAAACTACAACATTTTACAATATTCTCCATAAAAATAACATGGGAATTTTAAATTTGCAATTTTTTTAATTTTCTCCATGACCAATAACCGTACAAAACACTTTGGTATACTAAATTATTTGTTTTTTGAGCTCTTTAAAATGGTCTAGAGAGAAATTGGGAAATTTTGTGTTTTGAGGGTCAAAAATGAGAAATAGTTATTTGTGTAACTAGTGGTGAAAGTGGCACTTTGCTGCACACGAGGGCAATGTTTACGCACGAGCCGCAGGCGAGTGTGGAATGATCTCGAGTGCAGCAAAGGCCTTTTTCACTCGTGTTACACATTATATTTTTCCTACAGTCACTATAAAGCATATAAATAATTAGTCTTTCAAACACTATGCAACACGTTTTTAGGTTCAGCTGGCAACACAAATGGTGCCCTAGAGAAAGTAGTACCCGCGGTCCGTATCACTCCGCTATGTTTTCTCGGCAAGAAATGTGCTCCGCGTTTTGAGAATATAGTTCCGTATGTTTTTGTAATTTGAAGTGGTTTCCGCGCCTATAAAACAATGCTTAAAAGGTATTTTCTTGTTTATTAAGATCGTAAGAAGGTTTTAAAAACGTTTAAAAGAAAAGTCCAGAAAGTTCAGAAATACCGAAACTATAAACACGAAATGACAGGTTAAATCGTAGTTATAATAGTCAATCAGCTGCTCATAGTATAATTATCTTAAGTGTTGCCAACCTATTTCCAAGCGTACACGGATTACGTGCATAATGGAACCACGCTGTTTTGTGTTGTTTCGTTGGAATCCTGATGTGCGGCAAAGTATAAACCGAACGGCAAAGTATAAACCGTACGGCAAAGTATAAATATGCAGCAATTAGCAGCTTTCTGTACTATAAACAGTACAAGGAAGCCAACTTTGTCGGGTGACTGTAGGAAAAAACAATTTTTACCCCATAAAACCCCCTGTAAAACCCTGTTCCCATGCCTTACACCTTCAAACCAAATTGGCAAATTTCACCAAAATCGAACAAAAATGTCTCAAGTTATCGCATATATATATAAAAATTTGAATGAATAGGGTTTTTGGCCTTTAGGAACATCAAAATAAATAGTATATTGTTCCCGGCTACAGGTCTCACCATGCCACCTACTTATAGCTACTTCCGTATAGGGAAATTCGCTAAAAAGGCGAAGACGCAAGCGTATGTTCTATTGCTTTGCTGGGTACGTACCAGGCACGGGAAAATAGTCTATGAGGACAAGCAAATGCAAGGTTAAAAGAGGCTGCCAACCTCTTTTGTAAAAAAAATTAAAAATAAGTGGTAGGGGAGCTTCCCCTCATACCGCCTAAATTTTGTGAACGGAGTATAACAACCAGCTTAGGTTTGTCAGGCCTCAGAGCTATAATTAGCACTTAGCTATAATATTGCTTCATATTTTACAAAGTACTGCTAGTGAGGACTGCCTATGAAATGTTAAAATTTTCATTTTGTGCAGTCAAACATGATGGACGACAATGGACAGAATAACATTCACAACATCCTGGAGTTGACTATGAGAAAAGAACTTGCTGAAGTGGAGGGCTGCATCAATCAAATCAAGGAGGCAGCAATGGTACATCGTGCTGTGGACATCTTACCCAGGTTTGGCAAGCTAGACATGCGTAATTACTGTGATGTTGGTTGCTAAGAAGAGGCTAGGTTCTCAATCTCTCTTTGATCTTCTTAGTGGTAATATTTCAATACCATTGAATTTTGTTTCATGATTTTTTAAATTGTATTCCTTTTTATTGTTAGACTTAAAGAACAAAAGAGGCAGAGAAAGAGGCTGGAGCGGCAGGTAGCAGAAAACAAAGAGGAGTTAAGTAGAATGTTAGAACTTCACAATCAGCTGGATGTAATGTTGGAGGTGGTCCTGTACCACACCATGACAGATGATGCCAAGGCGTAAGTACTTGTACACAACTAGATAAAAATTATTGGGTGGATTTTAGATTAGCACAACTAACTGAGCATAGTCTGATATCACAACATGGTAATCCATGTCAAATTAAAAACAAAGCTCTCCTATACTCTAATATGAGCTATGTTAACATTGGCATATGAATAGCCAAAGTAACTATGTTGGTTGAACAAATAACAAGGAAAAAGTAAACAAGAGACTTGTCAGTTGTCACATGTGTTAATAACAAGCCATCTACAGTATACTAGCAAATTACAAAATACAGAAAACATCAGTTGTAACTATTGATCAAAGATTAAACTGAAGATTACTCGATATAGGGGGAAATAGTTCCAATCAAATACTAGTTATTTTACTTAGCCCTCTCCCACCAAAACTTAATCCCAGAAGTACAGAGGCAATTTATTGTTAGCAAACTTTGGTCTAGCAATGAAATAAATATTAAAAAATATTATATTTATCCTATGTAAATAAGAATTATAGAAACATGAATCATAGAATCATTTCAATCAGCTGTTTTAATTTACCAGTCAACTGTCAAGACGTTATCCAAATGCTATTATAAACGAGTAATTAGCATAATAATAAGCATTGACTTTAACACGTTCGCTGCTACGGACGTTCCGGAACGTCAGCCGGGCCACGGCGCCAGGAGCTAAGAACGTTCCAGAACGTCACCGTTCATTGTTGTTTAACGTTGCTATGGATAAGCCAGCACGTCACAAGCGTTCTATATTTCTTTGCAGCTCGTGGGGACGTACTTTTCTGACAATAAAAAATATAGTTTCCCAAATCACCACCAGGGTTGTTTGGAACAGGGCTTTGTTTTACCTCTTTCCTGCTAGATAGCGACACTACTTTACCGACTGTAACCTGGGTAGTGCTGCTATCTATCAGAATCACTTAGTACTATATCCAATGCCAGTATTATTGCAGAACATTGCCATCCAGTATAACTACTGTTGTTTTTACTGTAATTCAGTGTATCGGTGGCAATGTCACGCAGCGGCCGTGCGTTAGTTCAGCAACTGGCGCCGTCCCGGCATCTAGCGCTCAGCAGCGAACGTGTTAAGTACATCCTTAGTGTAAATAAACATCTTATATTGTTACTTTACTTAAACTTTAATACTTTACTTTGAAATGTTACTTTACACGAAACACTCATCAACACTTGCTCTATATTTTATAGCCTGTTGATGAGTGTTTCGTGTTGGTGATGTTTGAGTGCACTGACGTCAACTCAATTCACTCTTTTTTAAGAGTAGGAGTGTATGCTTATGCTGCATGCTGAAGTTTTACTTTTACTTAAAGAAAGATTTAGTTTAGCATCAAGAAATAAATCACACTACTTACATAGGTACATAAATAATCATATTTTTCATGATTCTTTCTAAATAAATTGCATTGTAATGTGGTGACATGAAAGCGTTTATTGATGGTTTTGATTAAATAAGACCTCTGGTTTGAGCAAACACTACTTTTACCCAATTAACCTCAACCGAGCAAGGCTTGGTCCCCTGGTAATCCGTGGTCCCTGTGTTCTGAAACACTAACCAGGATGATCAGCTGACTGAGAATTATACAAATATTTTGTACCGCATTTAACTAGAAACTTTGGAATTATTGCCAATAATCAATGGCCACGCGTAAATTAGTTTGGATTAGCGGGACTCTGGGGTATATTTCTGTCTTAAGTTGACCAAGAAAATTTGTTTATTTCTAGTCTCAAAGAGGAACGAACAAAGCTTTACAAGGCGATTGAAGAAGTGAATGACAATATGAAGGGAACCCAGGAGGATCTGGTGCAATTGGGCCAGAAAATCTTGGATGTTCGGACAGCTTTGCTAACACTCAACATTATGTTGGACACAGTGAGTACAGAAATCTGTATTAAAGGTTAAATGTTAAATGTTTTTTGCATTGTCTTTGTGTCAATGAACACAATCTCATTAACATTTCAAGTTCAATTTATCGTCAAGCTGCAATATAATGGGACTTAATTTTACTAACCAGAAAGAAACACGGAAATCTAGAAGAAAAAAACACGGGTAGTCTGCTCAGTTGAGTTTGAGGTGACCTAAACCACCTAAGATAACTCAATACCACCATGGCCTATAATCCCTCAACTCCATTCTAAAAGATGGATTCAAAATTCTCCAAGCTTCCCCACACACAAAGGATTTCCTGAAAACACCCCTAACCACCACCTTTCGCCAACCACCCAACATCAAAAACATTCTTGTTCATCCTAAGATACCGGATCCAATGACAGCAACCAGAAATAAACACCCAAACGGCTCTTTCCCATGTAATACTTACAGATGTAAAACGTGTCCAATCATTTTGTGTTGTATATTTTATGTGTCTCTATGGACTTATCTAAAGATAAGCCTACTTTCCTGCCAATTTCCTTAATAATTCCTGGCAAATGTCCTATTTTTTTATCAGATAACCATATATTTTTAGTTACTTTTTATTCCTGATTCATTCCTGGTTAAAAATAGTCTTTACTTGTTTTAACAATTGCGAGGAATCACTCTAGAATCATCCAAGTATCATCTAAAACTGTTGTGAATCGGTGCACTTAGACATGCCAAATATGTTGGTTGTGGTGTTAGTTTTACAGTTTGTGATAAGTAATGCAAGAAGCAATTTGTTGGCAGGTGTGGCCAAGTGTTGGTGCTGACGACACAATCGACTACATCAGTGCAGAGAGTGAGATAGTCGTAGACCCTAACACTCAGGTCAAACCGCTCTCGCAGCCAAACACCGAGGGTGAGTGTGAGGCTTCCGCTAATGTTTGATACTGTAGGACTGAGAGTCCAAGGGGGGGGGTCATAAAATCATAAAATAAAGTAGCAGAGAAGAACAGGTGAGTCAAACTTTGAACCCTGATAAGTGCTCTCACCCTTCAGAACAGGTAAACGACACCATCAATTACTTGTCAATTGTCACAGACCCACAACCTGTTTATTATGCTTCTACTTGGTTGGTATTGTTTATGCTTGTGATTTTATATTCTTATAAACAAAAAAATTTAATAATTTTAGCAAATTTCCCATATATATGGGGAATATTAGCAAATTAATTAGCAAATTTCCCATAAAGGGAATAAGCTATTACCGTAGTACTCATGGTAAGACCTAAACCCGGGACCCATTTACTTTTCCGTTTTGAGGTCCCTAGAGGCAAAAAACACCATTCGTTCAAATTCCTATGAATATATATGTGTCCGTTAGCACGATAACTCAAGCAGAAATGATTCGATTATGATGCAATTTTGTATAAACCTACATTTATTCAAACGAGTTTGCGAACCAGCATGATCGGACTATGGGAATGAGAGTTTATGGGGGTTTTATGGGGTAAAATTTGGTTTTTTCTATTTCTTACCCAAAAAATATATAACTTAGCAATTTCTTTCCAAACCATTTTGTAGAGCTTAAAAAACAAATAATTTAGTATATTGAAGCGTTATTATGCGCCTAATGGTTACGTAGAAAATTACAAAAAATTGTAAATTTCAAATTCCCATGTTATTTTTATGGAGAATAAGTAAACTGTTGTAGTTTGCTTGTTTATGAACATATTTTGATCCAATTTGGACGATGCATTTATTTCTTAATAAACTATGAACATAAAAAAACACTTCTTTACCCTCTCTTTTGCAGCAAACCTAAGTACTCGTTAAACTAATTCTATTAAAATAGGGAATGAATGTGATATTTTTAAGGTGACATGTTAGTGTAAATCCAATCAGGCAAATAGAAATTCGCTTAGTCTGCAGGTTTGCTGCGGCGGGGGCATTTGATTTCAGCAAGACACTGTAGATCTACAATTCTGCAAACTGAGAAAATATTTTCTAAGACTAGATTGTGAATAGCATAATAACTTGTCAGTAATAAACTACGTGAAAGCATCAGACTAGGTTTACTATCATTTTTACATGATATATCCCATTCCACGTCCACTATATCCAGTATCAGAGATTGAATTTATTTTGAAATGTATCTCTTTCATTTACACATTTTTTATCACATTTTCCAATACCATGAATGGAACTCATGGTCGTTTTGAAGTAGACTTCAACAATATCTACTAGCAAATGCCGTTCTTACATGATAAACAGTAGCTTTAAGATTGTTTTCAATGTTTGCTATGTATCATTGTAAAGCTTTAATGTCCCACATATTTTTACTGCACAGAAAATTTTGTGATTTTTATCTGTTCTTTTCCCTCATGATTTTTAAACTATTAAATAAGTTGTGGAAAATATAACCAAACTTCAATAAACAGTATTAAAATTTGTTCCAGCTCTAACTCTGATGGAGCAAGTGACCAAGAAGTTGAAGTGGCTGTTGAGTGTCGTGGAGACCTTGGACAAGACGGACAGGAAGCCAGCGCAGAGGCAGAAATTGAGCCACAAGTCCAGCAAGGTGCAGATAGCCGAGGATGACGCCGACAACAGTAAGTGTAGGACCAGGCTTTGTGAAGCGGAATATACATGATCATATCTGTGTCTAAAACTAAAATAATCTATCTATCTATCTATGTGGATAATGCCATTGACTTTTTGGTTAGTAAAGAAGTAGACTTCACATCTGTATGGACCAGCTGCGGTGTATTTCTTATCAAACAATAAACAAAACATATTAGTTAATGAGCCACTCAGTTTGCTAATCTAAAATTCTCCTCGATGTCTTAGTTTTTGTTATTGAAATACTTCCCATAAAAAGGTTAATAGGAGATATTGGTGTTTATTTTTACATGGGGCTGATGAAGAATAAAAAATGGCCACCATTCTGCAATGGGTCGAGATAGAGACCCCTAATTTTTGCCGATATTATTTTTAACTAATGGCCTTTTAAATGAGGTGTCGCTTGATGGGACTTTACATTAAACATTTTTGAGTAGCCCCCAATGCCCCTTTTTGGATTTTCAGACGAAATTAGGTTACCAACAACAAAGTGCTCTTTTATGCCATATACTGTAGAGGTGTTCAGAGTTTGGTTTTACTGGTGTAACCCATTAAAATGTTAATAGGGGGTGTTTATACTTTTGCACCACTCTGTATAACTCCTAGTTAGTAGAAGAGAGTGATTTATCTTTAATCCACTCTAAAATATTGCTATTACATTTTGTGATCCTATTTTGTGCATCTAGCCTTTGGACATTTTTTTTGTTTTGTTTTTAGCGAATTTCCCATATAGGGAATAAGCTATTACCGTAGTACTCATGGTAAGACCTGGACGCGGGACCGATTTTTTTTTTCGTTTTGAGGTCCCTAGAGGCCAAAAACACCATCCGTTCAAATTCATATATATATATATATATATATATTTATATATATATATATATATATGTGTCCGTTAGCACGATAACTCGAGCAAAAATGATCCGATTTTGATGAAATTTTGTACAAACGTGTAAACCTACGTTTATTCGAACGAGTTCGCGATCCAGCATGATCGGACCATGGGAACGGGGGTTTACGGGGGGTTTTATGGGGTAAAAATAGGTTTTTCCCATTTTTGACCCCAAAAACATAAAATTTAGCAATTTCTTTCCAAACCATTTTGTAGAGCTTAAAAAAACAAATAATTTAGTATATTGAAGCGTTATTATGCGCCTAATGGTTACGGAGAAAATAAAAAAAAATTGTAAATTTAAAATTCCCATGTTATTCTTATGGAGAATAAGTAAACTGTTGTAGTTTGCTTGTTTATGAACATATTTTGATCAAATTTGGAAAATGTTTTTATTTCCTACTAACTACTAACATTTTACAAAAAAAAAAACAGTTTTACCCTCCCTGATGCAGCAAACCTAAGTACTTGCTAAACTAATTCTATTTAAATCGCGAAATGTTATATTTTTAAGTAGACATTTCACTATTTCAGTGTAAATCCTATCAGTCAAATGGAAATTCGCTTAGTCTGCAGGTTTGCTGCGGCGGGGGTATTTTACATAACTTCCTTATTTATATATTTTTTGACTGCAGTAGTTTATTATTTGGCTAGAATAAATCGCAAATTTGAATGAATCTTGACTTTTAAATACTTGCGCACCCCTACTAAACAGCCACTTGAATTTCCTTTGAAATACCATATGGTATGTATTTTTTTGTGTTGAAAATATATTGAATCGTTACACTATTAACTCGTGTTTCAGTCGTGTCAGACATGCTAGATGAGTTAGAAGACATGGACGACCCGTCAGTTCCCACCAGGAGGTACATCAAAGCAGAGAGTCAGAGGATCGTAGATATGTACAACGACCCGAGGGCCCTGTTTGAGGTTGCACCAATCAAATACAAGAAACACGCTTGCTTCTAACTGCTGAGAATGAAACTCTCTAGTGAAAAAATAATCTGTTTGAAATTTAAAAATCTACAGTAGTTTTGGTTCTATAGGATGCTATGGCAATTCTTTTCAAAAGGAATTTGAAAATTCGTTTTTTGTAAAAGTTTCCGTTTGAGATACATTGTATTAACATAATACACTTGTTTAATTTTTATGTATCGTATTATTTTTCTAAAGGGTTTATAAAGAGTTATTGTTGTAAGAAAATTGTTTATATAATTACGAGTGTGTGGACTTGTTATTATTTGTATTAAAAGATTCTTAAAGCCAAATATTTAAATTTGAAGTTTTCTAGATTACCTGATTGAAGTTGTTAAACAAAATTTGCCATGCATGAATTAGAATCCATTTATAATACTAAACAGTGTGAGATGTCTCAGCATTGCATTGTGATATTTGGTTCAAGATGTGAAGATGCGGTAAAAAAAAAAAAATGGAAAATTACAGACATCTAGAGATCTAGATTGAAACTATAGGAAATAAAACACTTACAATTTTAACTGAGTTGTTTCAATACTTTTTTAATGACCATTTCAATTAAAAATAAATAATATATACAAATAAGAACATCTTAACAATACCAAACAGTCTACAACATTTTTGGCATTAACATACTTGGCATTAGCCAATGCTATATCTGTTATGGCAATCATATCAAATACTAGTTTATCTATGGTTTAAACTGAAATCCTGTCGGAATGGTGTTTTAATTTTTTGTCCTGAATTACTTGATTTTGCTAACATGTGGTAAGAGATTAGGCCTACCCAATGAGTACAGGGTATAGGTTTATAAAACATCAACAGTACATATAACTATTTAATAGCTTATTTAGTGGTACTTAAGTGTGCATAGGGAGCGGCCAATAATGGAAGGTGTGTCTAATTTTGGGGAATTGAGGCTGTGGAATGTGTGGCTAACTGCAGACTGCAGCTGGAACATTGTTTTTGCTTTTACTTTTCAAGTTAATTTTAATTTGTACAATTGACATAATTGCTCAACATAATTTACAAGCAGCTTTAATTCACTATGACTGTCCACAGCCCTCTGATCAATCTGAGTGTGACGGCTGGTAGTAAACGAGATAAATCAAATTAAATCAATTTACAATCGGAAATGTTTGAGCTATGGGTGATTTAAGCTCGAAGCAGGATAACTTATAATCTAGTTAACATTTATTATAACAGTCTTTGTTTATTTCACTATCTAAAATTACTAATCCGGAGAAGCCAAGATGTTGAATTTATTCCCAATGGCCATATCCTCCCCGGAGTCCTCAGAGTCTGCCTCGTCTCCCGCTTCGCTTTCTCTCTCCTCCTGTTCTAACTGTCTGCCGGTTCTTTCCTCGCAATGTTCCTCCTCAGAGAGGTCTTCCTCGTCTATGAAGTGGTGAGGAGCCTCATCGTATCCCTCGTCCGTACTCCTCGCTTGCACCCACAATACGCCTTTCAGCTCCTCGTGCTTCAACCAGAACTCTGCAACAGGTTCCGTGTTGATTGATCAAATGGTGGACAGAGATTTTTGGCATTTGTTCGTTTTTTGGGGAAAAGCAAGATGATGTTTTAAAATCCAACTAAGGTGTTTTGAGGGAAGGTTTAGAAACAATGAGTTATGAGTTTGGAATGAATGTTTTCCTTCCAATCTGTCAAAAACAATACCGAAGAAGATTTTATAGCATACATGGAGGCAGTAGAAAAATCGGCCACTAAAACAACCCAAGGCTAAGGTTATAAAACACGCATCTTGAGTGATAGCACTCCCTTGGTAAGGAGACACCCCTTCACACTCGGCCACAAGGTTTGTAACACAGCTTACAGCACAATTCTATATCCAGATGTCATTTACTTACTATTGGGTAAAAATTTAGTGGTAATATCAAATACACTAGTAACTAGATCAAAATTTGAACCCTTACAAACTACATTAAAACCTCAATGTCGTTGAAAAACACACAAATAAAACAAAAATGTACTCATTACGCAGGGCCACTTAATCAAGTTAATAGACCCTTTTTTTCTTACTTTACTTCTAATAAATCAGAATGCTGCGCTAGAAGAGTAAAATGTTAAGTAAAATTATAAAGATTAAAATCAACTATTTACCTTTATTGGCGTGGTAGCCTGGAGGTCGGAGGCAGAGAGCTATCTTGCCGTCCAGAGCCATGCGTAGGATGTGGTTGGCAGCCCTGTATGAGTCAAGACGAGCAGCCTTGGCAGTGCGGAACCCTCGTTTCAACGCCCAACCTGCCAAACGCCAGTATATTAGTGAGAGAAAATGTGACAGTATGATAACCAAGCATACAAGATAAAAGAATACACAACTTGCAAGAATGAAAACCTGTTACACCAACTCCAGAGCAATCTCTGTCAAGCTAAACAAATAGACCTTACAAGAAAACTCCTCAGAAAAACGATTAATGGTTACAGGCAGGACGTTATGTATTTTTATTTATTTATGGTTTCTGTTATAACATTTGTTTAAGCTGTACAAACAAGTTTTTTTTTTACTACGGATAACTACTGAAAAGTAGTAACAGCCTTTACAGCAAACAAGGGTCTCCCCAGAAACAAAATATTGTGTACTTTCTGTGTGTACCTGTACTTCTTCTAAGGTAATCTAGTGGCGATCCCTTTGTTCTAAAAATAAAAATCCTGGCCTGGAGCCTCGAAAAAAACTAACCCAAAAGAAAACCACAGCCATACAGAGATAGACAATAGACAAATTCTTTATTAAAATATTCCTAGAGAACAATGTGTATTTTTATAAAGTATTTTTTATTGGCTAGAGTGTCATTACCATCACAGACATCCATTGCACTCCAGGTAGAGTCTCCTTCTGGATGAGTGAGTTTCAGCAGCTTGACCAAATCAAGCCTCTCGGCGAGATACTGGACGGAAGAGAACGGATCTCTCAGCTGAGCTATGGGATAACTACCCATCAGCACCTTCATCAAAGTCAAAGTCGTTTAGCCAGATTGACAAATATGTTTGCATAGGCCAATAGATACTTACATAACAATAGATACTTATATTGTTGCCATGACTGGAATGAAATACAAAAATTAAATATAGCTTACACTTGTACAGTTTTACCTTATAATTACCACTGTCACTGGCTTATTCCCAAGCTATTTACGTTTTTGTCAGATGGTAGCTAGAGCTAGATAGTAAAAGAACTCAGGTGTTGAGTAAAAAGGGTTTTCGGACAACTAGCATTTTAACTGAGTAACTAAATTAAACTATTTTAACACTCAGGGAAATGGACACTGTCCTTTTTCTTCCTCGGTCTATGGTAGTGTGGGTGTTGCTGTGGTGTGTTACAGGAATGATGATCTTGACTTATAGCAAAGGATGATGCATTTATATGAACATATCTGAAGGCAATCATAGATTTATTGGTTGTAAGGTTCTACTACTCCGAGCTCTATAACAAAATATTTACAGCTATCTCTCCAACTGCAGACTCAAAGGATGTACAAAACCTTTTTCTGTATATTCAATATCATCACACACTGTCACATGTTTCTAAAGTTTAATACGTTTACTCGTAAGGATTACCTGAAGAGATTTTGGCACTTTGGATGGAAACACAAGGCCGGGACAGTCGCAGAGCCTCACATTGGCTGTCAGATGGATGGTCTGGAAGTGTTTGGTGTGGCCGGGTGTCCGTGACACACTCACCACCTACACACAGTCAAATCAGAGAAACAGATAAAAGTGAAACAAGTGACTCAGTTTGCATACTTCTGACTGGGGGCTGTATTAATTAACATAACCCATCCTGAAAAAAATCTACGTTTTGAAACCTTAGGCTAATAATAATTATCAAAATATCATAAAAGTTGTCCTATAGTAAGACGGGAAATGTTGTAATACCTAATGCAGTAAAACAAATTTAAAAATAACATGTCTAAAATTTCTGATAATTTCCATCAGATCACTGTAGCTTTCTGTAAATGTATTTTTAATGACGATTCCTATGTTTAGGATGAATAATAAAAAAAAATGTATGATTAGGTATTAGGATTCAAAATTAAAATGTTTTATGTCCCATCAACTACCTCGGTAACAAAGAATAAGTACAACAAGAATAGAATTATAGACAGCGGAATCTATGATCGGCTCACAGAACTGAGGTCTTTTTTAATAAAAAATTGGCGACAGCTGGACCATAGAGTTGGGATGTCTGCTTCAGTATCCAAAAGTCTAAACGGATAGAGTACCGGTACCCACTGTTAAACTTTATGCATTGTTCAAATTTAATGTTTACCACAGATTTATTATTACTATTACACTGTGAATCATACCCCTTAGAATCACAAGAAACATAAACAAACACAAATTAATTTCCAGCTTGGGACTTCAATGGAAAACTAAAAATTGTTAGTAAATAGTAGTAGTTTTGTTTTCCCTAATGTAAAGCATTACCTTTTTCCCCATTAGTGCGTTCATCAGAGATGACTTGCCTACGTTGGGTTGTCCGACACATCCGATCGTCAAAACTCCACCTTTAAACCTCTCATGATCTACAAATGACGTATCCACTTTCTTCAACTGTTAAAACAAAAATGTATGAACAATCTTCACATAAACACTTTTCAATTAGAACTCTACATAGACGAATGCATTTTTACAGAGGTTTTCTTCATAAGAGTCTTAACACATTATACAGCCTGCAATGTTTAAAATTATAATCCTACATTGGGTGTGGAATCATAGTCTTTACCAGATTTTATACCAGTATGTTTTACACTTATTCTTTAGTGTTAGTTGAACATTTTTACCTGTAGCTCATTATATAAATTTCACAGAAAGCAATAAACAAAATTCTAAAACCCTCCCTAAAATCAATCAAACCTAACCCTCTCATTAAATAACACACAAATCTTCCCAATGTAATATTTTCCAAGCAACTGAGGTAAGATAAAATAATATAGAATACCTTCGCTGCAGCAAACCTGCTGACTAAGCAAAATCCATTTACAGCTCGTGACATCTAAGCTGGCACTTGACAGATCGCTACTAGTACCTAGTTCAAAAACATTATGTCCAGTCATACGGGTTGCATCGACTGTCCTCGCGACCCATATGAAGGCGCTCAAGTACATAATACAAGGGGAGTACGGGGAGTCAACCCCGTGAGGCAGCGGAACTGTTTGCAGTTCGGTCTTTTCCCTACCTCCACCGTAGCGGGACCTCCAGTGTACACTGCCCGTGCTAGGCCACGTGCCAGCTTAGATGTCGCGAGCTGTACCTGGCTGGATTTCTACTAAAATATTTCCTGAAAATTGTAAGATTTATTTCTTATTTAAATACTTTACTTTAATACTTTTCAACAAAATAGCGACCATATAAAGTAGGTATTTTAAGCCAAGTATGAATCGAGATGAGTGTAGGATGAGTGGCACGAGCTTGTAGTCTTGTTAGTGGCTAAGGCCGGCTTATTCCTTAGACACAGCTGTTAATTAATAGCCATAACATTAATTTTAAAGAGTACAGTACCTAGGTTTGCTGCTACAGGGAAGGTATTGGGGTGCGTTTTTTGTTGAAATGTTGATAGCTTAGTATGAAAAAAAATTGCCAAATTTGATTAAAATATATTCATAAACAAGCAAACTACAACAGTTTATTTATTCTCCATAAGAATAAGATGGGAATTTTAAATTTGAAGTCTTTTTAAATTATCTCCGTAACCGAAAGGCATACGACAACGCTTTAATGAACAAAATTACTTCTTTTTTTAAGCTCTACAAAATGGTCTCGAAAGAAATTGTGAAATTTTATGTTTTTAGTGTCAAAAATGGGAAAAACCGATTTTTACCCCATAAAACCCCCAATAATCCCCCGTTTCCATAGTCCGATCATGCTGGTTTGCGAACTTGTTTGAATAAATATAGGTTTACACGTTTGTACCAAATTTCATCAAAATCGAATCATTTTTACTTGAGTTATCGCGCTAACGGACATATATATGTGACAGGGTTAGGCAAAAGTCTGGAACCCCCCAGTTAACTTTTAATGTGTTGCAGTATGAAAACCAAACTCGGCACATATTTACAACATAAGAAATTGTACTTTTTCATCCAAGTTACAACTTTGCGCCAGCCCCAAAAATGGGGTATTTCGGGGGCAGCCCTAAATTTTCTAATGCAAACACCTATCATGTGACCCCTTATTTTAAAGGGTTTATCAAGATAAATTGAATGGCGTAAATCAGAGGTCAATATCGCACCCCTAATCAAAATGGCAGCCATTTTAATTATTTAAGATGAGCAAGCAAGATAAAGTCTGGACACCCCCAGTTAACTTTATAACGTGTGGCAGTGGGAAAACCAAACTCAGCACATGTTTACAAAATAAAAAATGCACTTTTTCATCAATGAGGGGTCACATGATAAGTGTTAACATTTTAAAATTTGGGGCTGCCCCCAAAATATTCCATTTTGGGGGCCGAGAACAAGTTCTAACTTTACATACAGAATATATTTACATATTGGCCATCAGCTTCCAACGCCCCCCTGTAAAGTTTAACAGTTTGAGTGTAATGTAAGGATAAAATTATTTATATCTTTATAACTTACATTAACTGTTTCTTCAACTTCCACATCTTCCTCATCATCATACTCCAAGTTCATTTCTTCTTTTATTTTATTTTGCCACGATGTAAGGTCAACTGGAAATTTTTTAGAATTGTCAGCTATTCCAATATTTGCCAGAGAATAGAGGTTAATGATGTTACATATGGTAGAAGGATTACAACAATTACTGTCGAGATGGAAGGATTGCCTAAATGGGAAAATCTTGGCACAAGAAAGACCAAACTTAACACTCAAAACAAAACAACAATCAGAATATTTCACTGTTACCGACTTTCAGTAAAGTAGGTTCACAACTCAAATAACTTTTATTTGTAATCCTCAAAAATTAGTTTGATTATTGTGTAAAGTTTATGCATTTATCGTGCAAGAATGGACTTTCCCAAAAGTCTGCTATCCCAAAAGCAAACCTTAAGTTTACTGAAAATTTAACCAAGGAGTTTAATTGAGGGATAGCATTTAGCCTTAACTGATAAAATTAGATTGAAGAGGCTATTGGATGCAATGCAAAGGCATACATCTCTTGCTCTTGATATTTCGCCCTAATGTAGGACTTTTTTCAGAGAGTACACAGAAGAGAAAAGTGAAAGAAAAAATACTACGTGACCTTTTGTTTTATTAGATCCTACACTTGAGCCACCCCTGTTAACCTAATTACAGGTTATGGACGAACCTGTATACTATCAATTAGTTACGTTAAAATTGTAACTATATCTGCATACATTACATAATAATTCATCAAGCTGTATTTTCTTTTTGGATTGGATTTTTTGTGGATGCAAACCACAATTACTGACAAGATTTGTAATTGTTAACCTTCTACACTTGTGATGTTTTATAGTTACTGCTGTTAACTTAATCCATTATACAGGGTTAGTAAAAAGCCTGGAAACCCCCTGTTAATTTTTTAACGGCCCATACTAGAAAAACTAAACTTGGCACACCTTTATAGCATGTTATGAAGTACTTTTTGGGCATAGCCACCACTTGGTGTACATCCCAAAAGTGGGGGATTTTGGGGGAAACTTAAAAATTTCAAATGGTAAGATCCATCGAGTAACCCCTTATTTTTAAGGTCCTGGTAAAAGAAAACCAACAATGCAAACTAGAGGTACCTATCTCAATCCGGTACAAAATGGCAGCCAATTGAAATTCACAGAAGTTAAATTTAACTTACAGCTTTCCAAGTCTGGAGACCCTGTGAATTTTGTAACGGCCCACACTAGGAAAACTAAACTCTACAGACCTTATGGCATGTTTTTAAGTACTTTTTGAGCCTGATTGCTAATTGGGTCCCAAACCCAAAATGGGGGATTTACACCAAGTGGCGTTTATGCCCAAAAAGTGCTTCATAACCAGTGTTGGGGAAGCTACTTTTAAAATGTAGCTAGCTACAACTACTGCTACATTTCCAAAAAAGTAGCTTAGCTACAGCTACAGCTACAGTTCCGAAAAAGTAGCTAGCTACAACTACAGCTACAATGAAATGTAGCTACAGCTACAATTTTAGCTACTTTTCCAAAGACGTTACTTTTTATTCCAGTCACATTAGGTAAATGTAAAATTAATTGCAACTACATTTTTATTGCCTTTCTTTACTTTTAATGTTAAAAACGACATTGCTATAACTTTTAACCATAGTGATAAGTTACTTGTTCTAGGAATAACACTTTTCAATGTCAAGAAATCGTCCTTTATTGTCATTATGTATAGGGCAAATTGTGCTTCAACCTAGTTGGTAATGAAAACAGTATTCAGCAACTTATCCTGAAATCGGTTTTTAATTTAAATATGTTGAAATTTGTAAAGTAAAAATAACATGTAGGCCTACTTGGCTATGTAACAAGTTGGCTATAGTAGGCTTGTTCTTGCAAGGATTAAACAGATATATTCCTAATAATTGAACTTGGAACTTGGTATTCGTCTTTAACCATAGCATAGCCTAGGAATATAGTCCTATACAAGAGCTGTTAGCAGGAGCAAACTATACTATTTTTTCAATGTAAGTTTCATGTTATATGTTATTTTCGTTACAATTATCATGTAGTCTAGGCATATCTTAAATCTCATCAGGTAATTTCCTCTTTGTTAATTTAGTAAACCTTTGAAAAATCTTCATAATCTAACCAGGGAAGGGCTTGTGATGATGAACCACAAACAACAGCTGAAGCAAAGGTTGATAGACCAGCTTTCTCATTATTTTAAGGTTTAGTGTTGGTTTCCATTAAAACCCAAGTTGAAACACTATCGATATAATAAAGAAACTAAATTGATTACTAATTTCCCTGTCAATCACTTGCAAGCATTCAATAGCTTCTCTTGTCGGTAATGTTTAAACGTCGTCTGCAACTAGCGATTTTATTTTATCTGACAGTAATCATAGAGTAGTAAGTAAAGGAAATGAGAGCCAAAAATGTGGATAAAACTCATTTAATGGCCTCCATGTCCACACAACGTAATAGGGAATGAAACGGCTGCAACCAGCTGTATGAAGCCAAGAAAGTAGGCCTAATTTTTTTGAAAATCTCAGTTTGAAAGAGGTTGTTTCACGTAAGGTTGAGGTTATGATAAAAATCACTATCTCAAACAATGTTAATGTAGCGAGAAAAGTAGCTAAAATTCCGCTACAACTATTTTAAAAATGTAGCTAGCTACAGCTAAAGCTACAAAATCTTAAAAGTAGCGTAGCTACAGCTAACGCTACAAAAAAAGTAGCGCGCTACTGTAGCGTCGCTACTTGTAGCGCGCTACTTCCCAACACTGTTCATAACATGCCATAAAGGTGTGCCGAGTTTAGTTTTTCTAGTATGGGCCGTTAAAAAATTAACAGGGGGTCTCCAGACTTTTTACTAATCCTGTATAATAATTCATCAAGCTGCATTTTCTTATTGGATTGGATTTTTTGTGGATGTAAAACATTAATGACCGGGATGATTTGTAGGCCTAGTTGTTTACCTTCTCCACTTGTGATGGCTTTACAAACATCAAATAGTTTTTGAGCTCCCTCAGCGGCCATCCGCAATCTTCCTTTCCTGCGTCTGATATTTGCCCCTGAAAAAATACCATTATGTAGGCTAGTTTCAATAGCAACCAAACCCGCTGGATTAGTGAGTTTCTACCATAATTAACATTAAACTGACTAATAAAAATCGGCCCCGGGTCTAGGTCTTACCATGAGACCTAATCTACTATTACCTAACCTGAGGTAATAGCTACCGCTCTATAGGGAAATTCATTAAAAACAAGAGCTGCTAGAGAGAAGGGCTAAGTTACCCTCTGATGGCAAAACGTAGTCAGAGACATTATTGTTTGTGAGGGAAAAGGGGGGGAGAATGCAATGACCTCGACTGAGTTATAGGGTGCACAGTATTTGGCTTTATTTCAACAAGTGTACAGTGCTTCAATCCCATTTTTTGGCGTGTAGAACATGTTAAGACTCTAGTTGTGTTCAATAAAATTCAAACTATCAAAAATATAATCTAATTACTCACATAACTCTGTCAGTGATTATATATGGTAGTATTAAGTAACAAAAGAACAATTCTGACTCCAAGTTAAAGAAAATTTTCAAATTAAGCATATTCCACTGTACTACAATGATCACACTGAAGTAAACATGAAATATCTTTGTTACCAGCTTTGTTCTGCGTGCTGCCCCTCAAGTTGTAAGAAGGGAAGGACGTGAATTGCAGCACTTGTAGTCCCGGGTACCGTGAGAGGAAGTAGTGTGTCCAAGCCACCACTAGGGGCACTGGAGCTAGGTCCACCTTGTTCAACACCAGTATCATGTCCTTCTTGAGAGTAGATGTTACAAACTGGTGCAGTGAGGGTGGAAACATCAGCGCCTAAAAGATTTTTTGTCAAGAAAAATGGCTGTTTTCAATATATTATTTCTTTTTATCCATGAGGTAAAAATATTCAGCTACAGTCGAGGACTTTTTTGTTAATCTTGAGAATAAACATTTAGAGTTAGTAAGTATTCTATTGTTTTGATATTGAAATGTAATTGTGATTATCATTTTTCCATATTTCCCTTCAATAAAAAGCTTTGAATCGATGATTAGATCAATCAAAATCAGGGGTGAATGAATATAAGGAATGACCTGGGTCCCCCAACAAAATAATGAATATGAAGTTACATAACTAGATTAAGTGTGGGGGTCTACTTAAAATTACTTAACCTAAACTTCCTATATATTAATCTAACCCCCCCCCCTCCCTGCCAAAAAATATGCTAAGTCACCGAACTATAAAAATACTTGCACTTTAAGGTCACGGAGGCAGAGCTCTTATTAACTTTCAGGCAAACCATTCTTATTGCACATTTAAGAGTTGAAGTTAGGGATGGACGGGTCCCGAAATTTCGGGAATTTTTCGGGAAAAAAATATTCCCGATTATCGGGACAGGATTACATTTGATTCGGGAATTTTTCGGGACGGGATTTAGTCCCACGGAGTCATAACGACGATCGTGCCGTGACCGCGGAGTCATACCGAAGATCGCGCCGTGACCGCGAGTCATACCGACGATAGCGCCGTGACCGCGAGTCAGACCGACGATCGCGCCGTGACCGGGAGTCATACCGACGATCACCCCGTGACCGCGGAGTCATACCGACGATCACGCCATGACCGCGGAGTCATACCAACGATCACGCCGTGACCGCGGAGTCATACCGACGATCGCGCCGTGACCGCGGAGTCATACCAACGATCGCGCCGTGACCGCGGAGTCATACCAACGATCACGCCGTGACCGGGGAGTCATACCGACAATCGTGCCGTGACCGCGAATCATACCGACGATCACCCCGTGACCGTGGACGCATACCGACGAACGCGCCGTGACCGCGGAGTCATACCAACGATCGCGCCGTGACCGGGGAGTCATACCGACAATCGCGCCGTGACCGCGGAGTCATACCAACGATCACGCCGTGACCGGGGAGTCATACCGACAATCGTGCCGTGACCGCGAATCATACCGACGATCACCCCGTGACCGTGGACGCATACCGACGATCACCCCGTGACCGTGGACGCATACCGACGATCACCCCGTGACCGTGGAGTCATCACGACATGACCGCGGAGTCATACCGACGATCGCGCCGTGACCGTGAGTCATACCGACGATCACCCCGTGACAGCGAGTCATACCGACGATCACCCCGTGACCGCGGAGTCATACCAACGATCACGACATGACAGCGGAGTCATACCGACGATCGCGCCGTGACCGCGAGCCATACCGACGATCGCGCTGTGACCGTGAGTCATACCGACGATCACCCCGTGACAGCGAGTCATACCGACGATCACCCCGTGACAGCGAGTCATACCGACGATCACCCCGTTACCGCCGTCATTTTGCCGATCGCACTGTGACCGCGAGTCACTAGTTTCTATAGGTACCTGAAAAATTTTTGGTTTTTATAGATCAGTGCCACAAACGATAAAGATTGATTTCGTATGCCTTTTTTTGTAACTGCAATACTCAAAACTTTCTTTTTATGCACAGAAAAAAATCCCGTCCCGTCTCGTCCCGAAAATCGGGAAGGAAATAAAAATCCCGTCCCGTCCCGTCCCGAACTAAAAATTCAATCCCGTCCATCCCTAGTTGAAGTAGAACCTCCATGCTGATTTTTGAGTTCTTATGATTTGTTATGGTTATCTTTAACATTTCTATAATCTTTGAAAAATACTTATGTAAGTATTCATTAGCTTCAGTAACATACAGCGTATCTGATGTCAACAATGACCAGAACAATATCCGACATCTCCAGAACCCGCCAAAGTTGTCGCCAGGTTTCCAGGTTAAGCTCAAAATAGCTCAATTCTCGTCTGTTGAATTTCTTCTCTATATCCAAGATATACTCCTGAAACCAGTTCAGATTACAGATTAACTCCTAGTGATTGATTATGGAATTGAGTAATATTTAACAGTCGAGGAAGGTTATTATAACTAAACTAATAACTACTATTGAATGTGAGAAATCTCAGTCATGTAAAGCTTAAATATATGCCCTCCTTGGAATTTCCACACACTTTTTATTTATAATAATATGTATTTATTGGCACTAACAATCATACTTGTATAACAGCACGTACATATTGGGTGTGTTGCTAGCCTAGTGGTTAGCGTCTCGGAATTCAGTGTGAGAGAAACATGTTTCATTCCCAAAACACCCACGAATCATATGGGTTTGGAGTTGAACCCATTCCAAAAGGAGTTTGTGTATCTCCTCCATACCTCTTAGGAAAATACCACAGGCGTAAACAATGACAAAACAAAACTAGAATGCTTCATGGTGCTCTTGTAAGACAATTAGCATCACTTAACTATAGGCCTACATAATATTTAAATAACACTTTATATTCTGCTAGCCCTACATAGCTGAGGATGACACTAAAGACTGAAAACATACTGTAAAATATCTCTGCTCTCTAGCTTCAAGTTCTTCACGACTCATGTTGAAATTCCATGGCGGCCTCGTTGGAAAGTGCAAGGCTGGATCAAAATAATCATCTAAGTTTATCTCCAAAGCTGGTTCTGGGACTGGCACAAGTTCTTTTCGAGCCAGTTCTTTCCTCTCTCTCATTTCTTCTGCTGTTTCCTTGTAAAACTGCAATGCATATCTAAAACAATATCGATATTAGATACATTTAGCATATTAGTACCGGTATACTAAATTTTACTTAAACAAAATTTTACATCAAATTTGAATACAAGCAAATTATTAAGTAGCATTATGTTTAAATCCAATTTGTAGTGGTATATAACATTTACAAGACCATTACAGCAGCCGTTATTGTATGGAAGGTTATTGCAAGAAAAAGAAGGATGTTTAGTAGTTTATGAAAATAAAATCTTCGGAAAATATTGGGCTTATTTAATAAAGGAGTTTGGCACATAAGAAAAAAATAGGGTTAGCGATGATAAAAGCCATAACAATTAGTTGGTTAGGTCATGTACTTTGTAGACATGAGGGCAGGTTTGTGAGGCCATACCTACAAGAAGACAACCGTTAAGCAGACCTAAATTGAGATGGTATGAAGTCAAGAAGGATGTTATCAAGTGCGGGTGAGAAATCCGGATGGCAAAGGATAGAGAGAAATGGAGAGGCTAAACTGAGAAGCAAAAAATAAATTAAGATTTGTTACACACCAGCAGTAAAGTAAGTAAGTACATAACAACATTGTGATACACTTAACACATTCGCTGCTGAAAACCTTTAAACAGGCGCTCGCCAATGGCGGCGAGGCCCGGGCGGAGCCCCGACGCGTGCGCTAACTGAATCAGCGATCGCTATTGGTATTGAAATATCTCAGTAAGACGAATCACAAAAGAGCAGTGGTGATTGTTCTGCGTTACTCCGAAAGTGGACGTAGTTCACTGAAACACCCAAAGGTAGCAGCACCACCGGTGGACCCGCCGCATCGAATGTGTTAACACTTTTTCCTACCAATTAACCAATTCTTTCACTTCTACATTATTAAATTAATAATAAGTATGAATGACAACAAAATGTATAGATATAGCTTTTCCTGTCAAAAACATGCTACATTTCCAACCAAGGTATGGTATATCTAAAATCTATTAAAAAAATAAGACAAACAATATGATTTAGATACCTACATGAGTAGTTTCGTAAATGTGAGTAATTCAAGTAAATTGTGAGAGTTAAGGAGTAGGCAAATTTATAATCTAATTTTGTAAATCTTCTTTCTTTTATTTGATGAGGTAGGCAAATTCTTTTAACCTTGGGTTTGCTTGTCCACATGGATCATGGGCCTGTTCGTGGAATATCCAGCAAATCATGAGGTAAGCATGTAACTTATAACGTAGTACATAAGTTTAAATGTAGAGATAAAATGTAGTCTCGATCACTAGGTCCGAACCCATGATATTGCTGCCTTGGGTTCATAGAAGGTCACACAGAGGACTAAGCAAACTCACACCATTCTTAAGTTTTTAATACTGTACTTTGAAAACTCCTTTTTAAAATCTATAATATTAAAACGAAACAGTGTTTTTTTATTTCACGATTCTGAATCAACCACTCGACGGATTTTCATGATTTTTGTGTTGAAAGAAAGATAATTTTGAGAACTAGGGAATGTCGAAGCCATAATTTTAGTTTAGGGCCCCAGTTTTTTTGAAATTAAGTTTTAATTTTGAAAAAGTCTAGCAGCCGACGCTAAGATTCTAAACTAGCTTTTGGCATAAAATAATTTGCTTAACATAACAGCTGTAAACATTTTGCTTTTGTGTCACAAATTCAGCATTTGGATAAAAATGTAAAGACATACTTAGGGTTGACTTATTTATACTATGTGTAATGCTAATCATTGATACGTTCAATTCTTCTGTAAGAGGATGACAGATTAATTAAATATACATAGTAAAATACTAGGATGTTCAAATTATTTTTCAAAGCAATCTTTGTAATCTTCGATTTGTTTTAGAGCATATAATTTGTTTTAACTAACAGCTGGATAAATATAAACTGTGGAACTATGAGGTTATTTTATTTACTCTTATTTTGTTATTGATTATAGGAAATAAGTAAGATTAGTAGAGATAATTATACCACAGTTTTAACCAAAATTAATTAAACCACAGTACAAATAGAGGCTCTGTACATGAGTCTTAATAAAAAAGGATAAATGCAAATTATTTTACTGCTACACTTTTCAAGGAAAGACTAGAAAAATAACAATGTTTACATGTTTTAATTCTTCATGGTAGCTTTTTGTTTACAATTAATGTTTGTCTGCTTTAACTTTGTTTGGATTAGGCCCGGAAATATTGATGTCATAAAAAGAAGATCAAGAATTATCCGGAATCACGATTTTAAATTACCACCACAACCTCAGCCGGGTTTTTTACAAAGATAAACAGATGGATGACATAGACTGAACACAACGTCAACATTGACCTAGGATACTGCAGTTAGACAAACCATCCTTTTATGAAATCGTGTTCAGTTGTGGTTATGTTTGGGGGTGCCTATATCCAGTGTTGGGAAGTAGCGCGCTACAAGTAGCGACGCTACAGTAGCGCGCTACTTTTTTTGTAACGTTAGCTGTAGCTACGCTACTTTTAAGATTTTGTAGCTTTAGCTGTAGCTAGCTACATTTTTAAAGTAGTTGTAGCGGAATTTTAGCTACTTTTCTCGCTACATTAACATTGTTTGAGATAGTGATTTTTATCATAACCTCAACTTTACGTGAAACAACCTCTTTTAAACTGAGATTTTCAAAAAAATTAGGCCTACTTTCTTGGCTTCATACAGCTGGTTGCAGCCGTTTCATTCCCTATTACAACGTTGTGTGGACATGGAGGCCATTAAATTAGAGTTATCCACATTTTTGGCTCTCCATTTCCTTAATTTACTACTCTATGATTACTGTCAGATAAAATAAAATTGCTAGTTGCAGACGACGTTTAAACGTTACCGGTGACAAGACAAGCTATTGAATGCTTGCAAGTGATTGACAGGGAAATTAGTAATCAATTTAGTTTCTTTATTATATTGATAGTGTTTCAACTTGGGTTTTAATGGAAACCAGCACTAAACCTTAAAATAATGAGGAAGCTGGTCTAGCTTCAGCTGTTGGTTGTGGTTCATCATCACAAGCCCTTCCTTGGTTAGATTACGAAGATTTTTCAAAGGTTTACTAAATTAACAAAGAGGAAATTACCTGATGAGATTTAAGATATGCCTAGACTACATGATAATTGTAACGAAAAAGTCTCCATATAAGTAACATGAAACTTAGATTGAAAAAATAGCATAGTTTACTCCTGCTAACAGCTCTTGTATAGGCCTATTCCTAGGCTATGCTGTGATTTAAGACAAATACCAAGTTCCAAGTTCAATTATTAGGAATATATCTGTTTAGTCCTTGCAAGAACAAGCCTACTACTATAGCCAACTTGTTACATAGCCAAGTAGGCCTACATGCTATTTTTACTTTACAAATTTCAACATGTTTAAATCAAAAGTCGATTTCAGGATAAGTTGCTGAATACTGTTTTCTGTACCAACTAGGTTGAAACACAATTTGCCCTATGCATAATGACAATAAAGGACGATTTCTTGACATTGAAAAGTGTTATTCATAGAACAAGTAACTTATCACTATGGTTAAAAGTTATATAGCAATGTCGTTTTTAACATTAAAAGTAAAGAAAGGCAATAAACTCCAATTTCAGTAGGCTAGGCTCTGTAACACAAAAAAGTATTTTTAAATAATCGTTTTACAGTTTTATTGGTCTTAATTGTTGATATAAGACATCCATAAATGAATCTATATTAAAGAAAAAAATTAGTTTTAAAATATAGTTTTGTTGTATGTTTTTTGAACTTAATGAAATTTACATATAAGATGCTTAAAAATAATGCAATATTTAAAAATAAATAAGTATGATGGGACACCCAACTATTTGGTTCTGTTGTTGTAATTTTAGGTTTATAATGCCAACAAATTAAATATAATCTAGAGGTATCTAGGTAGATACAATACTGACATTTTTTGTTTAAATGTTTGTTCAATAAAAATGTAGTTTCAATTGATTTTACATTTACCTAATGTGCGTGGAAAAATAAGTAACGTCTGTGGAAAAGTAGCTAAAATTGTAGCTGTAGCTACATTTCATTGTAGCTGTAGTTGTAGCTAGCTACTTTTTCAGAACTGTAGCTGTAGCTGTAGCTAAGCTACTTTTTTAGAAATGTAGCAGTAGTTGTAGCTAGCTACATTTTAAAAGTAGCTTCCCCAACACTGCCTATATCAGCGCCCCCAAACGTAATTTTATTTCAACTATGAATATATTGAAGTTTAAATTAACTAATATGGGAAATTACAATGGACATTTATTCAATGAGGGTGGGTAATTATCAAGGATAGAACTGATAACGGTATGGATAATAAACATTGACAATTACGTCATTAGCTTTACTAGCGTGTTTACTTTTTATATTCCTGCTACATGTGACCAGTTCTTTTTTTTTCAAATGAATGTTATTTGAACCAAACAGCCGTTTCAAAACAAACTGTTATTGTTTTTACTTTTCTTTGTTTACGCTTACTTATTTAGCAATTAATGCAGTGAAATTGATATAAAGGATAGGTGTGACGATTAATTTTGATGTTAGGACACCAAAGTTAAATTATGTGTACTGTGAATTTTATTGGATATTATCGTTTTATTTTAGGTTGTTTCTATTCAGACCTACTACAACTACTATACACAATTTCCAGTTATTGTGGTGATAATAATTATGGAAGAGGCAGGTATGCTATGGAAGGTGGTATCGTTGACTAGGTCTATACACTTCTCAATTGACTATTACTCTCTCTACTGTAGGCTACTTATAATCAGTGTGCGTCTGTGCGAATCGGCTGCAAATCTCACTTCAACGCTTTTCACATCGTAAAAATTGCAGAATTGCTGTTTTATTGTAAAATTATCGGATTTAAAATGCAAATCGTATAACTTAGGCCTATGATGGAATAAAAACATATTTGGTCACACAACATTTGTTTACAAGATGATTTTTCACATTAAAACTGCAAGAAACTTTGTCTTTATATGTGTAAACTAGCCGATCTGAATTGTACACGGTTTTAAC